TTGGAAATTACATTGTGCTTACAGACCCCAAAGTTCAGGACAGGTAGAAAGAATGAACAGAACTATTAAAGAGACCTTAACAAAATTAGCTCTAGAGACTGGCACTAAAGACTGGGTACAACTCCTGCCTCTAGCCTTATTTCGGGCTAGAAATACTCCTGCTATACATGGCTTAACCCCCTATGAAATCCTTTTTGGAGGACCACCCCCTGCACTCGATATAACCTTGTCCCCCTTGCCCTCTTCTTTTGATAACCCCAGCTTAAAATCAAGGCTCCAAGCCCTCCAGATCATCCAGAACCAGGTTTGGAGGCCCTTGGCTGCAGTCTACCAGCCTGGTGCTCTACAAACGCCTCATTCCTATCAAATTGGAGATCAGGTATATGTGAAAAGACACAACGTAAAAACCCTTGAACCACGGTGGAAAGAGCAGAAGGATCACCCACAAGTTCAATGCCAATCTGGTCTGTATAGTGAGTTTCAGGCCAGCTAAGGCTACATACCAAGACATAGTCTCAAAAAAACAAAAATAGCTTCGCCCTTGACTCTAAGTCTTTTGATAGACTTTCAAAGCAACTGAGGTGAATTGAGAAGGAATGTTGAGATTGAATTACTTATAAAAAATGCCTGCATTCACTTGAGACAATAACAAGTTACTAGCTTTAGCACAACCTAATAATTATAAACTGCAAACAAATGGATCCATGATTTCTTATAAAGTAAGACTGTATAGATGTTTGTTTGAACAAGTGGTATTGAATGAGAAATGCATGTTCAAAGAACAGAATTCAGCTCTGTTCACATCATCCTTGAAGAAACAAACTGTTAACTTCCCTGAGAGAAGAAAGGATTCATATGAGAATATTACAGAAAAATCACCCAAATTCTACCTGTCAGTATTAAGTTCCAGCCATTCGCTAAGCTATCTCCTGGATAGTAGATCCTAAGTGCTCATAGGCCTAGTAGGCTTCTAAAAGAAGTTACCAGTAGTTTTATCCTGCTACAGCCCATTGTACAGTGCTGGCAAGAAATATAGAAAGGACCCTTACCTCGGGAGGTAACTGCAGAAGGCCTGTCAATAAATTCAGCCTCCCTCTATGAGGCATCCCAATAATGACATCAGTTATGCCGCTGCAGGCTGACATCTTCAGTAACTCGTGAAAGAAGCCCATTATGCTTTCGGCCCCTTCACCTCCATATCTCTTCACTGTGGTGAACTTGGTGGCCAAAAAGTGGTCAAACTCCTATGGAACAGGCATATTAGTTGCTGCTCAGGTGAAAGGCAGGCAAGCTTGCATTCACTGTAGGTAGGTCCCACATTATTCTAGTGGCCTCATTTGGTCTCTTCATAATATATCCATGGAGAGAGACATCGAGGCATAGCTCTGCCAAGGACCCTTGACACAAGAAGGGGCTGTAAAGAACCTAGTAGAACCAACTTACTGGAGAACACCTCCTTAAGTGTGTGCTCCTCCAGACCAGAGGCCAGACAGCCATCTGTTGCCTTTCCTAACACATCAGTTTTAATAGAGGCTCTTTGGTTTTATTTCAAAGTCTCATACTATTCAACTACCAAAACTACTGGGAAGAGCCTTCTTGTCACTTTAACATGCCTGAGCCCTAATCACAGTCACAATGGAGATTTGGTTCCACTCCTTTACACTGACAACTTCTGTGTATAGTCTTTGGATCATTTCAGGAAACAAGAGATGTACAATCTTAAGGATTTGGTCATTTTTTTGTAGAGTAAGTAGATAAACAGATTAAAGTACTTTGATGCCAAGGAGAACCAACAGCTCAAATGTCTGTTGGCCAACTTTGCTTCTATTCAGAGTGAAATGGTATGTTCTACTGTCTATTGTATAGCAGCAATAGGGAAGGACAGGGGCAAGTGAGGGTAAATAAAGACGCATGCCTTACCTTCCTCTCCTCAATAGGAAATGAGCAGACCAATTCCACTAATATTAGCTATTACTTTTTTGTTTGTTTTGTTTCTGTTTTTTGAGACAAGGTCTACCTATAGCCCCAACTGGCCTGAATCTCCCAGAGATCTGTCTCTGCCTCCCCAGTGCTGGGATTAAAGGCATTTGCCACCACAATGCGCTGTCACTTTGTTGTTGTTCTTTTTGAGACAGGGTCTCCCTGTAGCCCCCCTGGCCTGGAACTTGCTATGTAGACCAGGCTGGCTTTGAACTTAGAGAGATACGCCTGTTTCTGCCTCCCAAGTGCTGAGACTAAAGGCATGAGCTACCACACCTGGCAAGCTGTCATTTTTTATACCTGAGATTCTAGCAATAATTTTGACAGATGTTTTCGTTCTTCTGTAGAAAATGTCTCCTTTTTCAGTTCCACAAAACGTCTGGCAAACCAGTCTTTCTCCTCCTGGCTCTGAAGTTGGACAGTTTCAATAGAAATTGGCCCACAATAGATATGGTTCAAATAGGTTAATACTTCCTCAAGAGAGGCCTCTTCCTTGCCCATGTTCAATAATCCTATGAAAGAGAAAGGGATCGTTTGAAAGAAGACTCATATAGTACATTAATTGTGGAACATAATAAAACAGTGTTACTGCTTCAATTCAGAGCAGTTTATTATAACTTGAGTCATTATCAATGGTTACTAAGATCTCCTTTTGGGGTTTGTTTTGTTGTTGTTTACTTGTTCTTTGTTTGTTTGTTTTACGGTGCTGAGAAATAGCATCCAGGAGCTATATATAACAAGCAAGTGCACTGCCACAGCCTCAGACCTATT